GTGTGTCTGTGTATCTCTCTGTTTGTGTCTGTCTGTCTCCGTGTCTGTGTTTTGTCTCTCAAATTTAGAAATCTTTCGAAGAACGTAATCAACCAGGTCGGGTGTTGACTTATGTTAGCCGACTCTCTGTGGTATATTGCATTATATTTCTAAGATTACTAGGTGTGTTTTCTCATTCATTCTTACATGATGACGATTGCTTGTGTTGCAATCGAAACGTCGTATTCTATAATTATTTTATTTATTTTCTTTCTACGTGACTTTACCGAAAGAACCAAAGAGTAAGAGTGGTACTGTGCATGTTAGCGTCTCTCTCTGGCACCAGTGTGTATGGCAGAGAAGGGGCCATAGGTGGCATGCTTCTGGTGACGGCCAGAGAGAGGGCACTTCAGGACATGACAGTCTGGGTGAACCCAAGAGGGCACGTGACCAGGAGAGGGTAGCAAGGGGGGCCAAGGGGTGGCGAGAGGGACACGTGACACAAGGCCCAGAACCTTCTAGTAGGATCTAGAAGGGGGCGTGGCCGAGGGTGGAGCCAGGCCGTGCTCAGGGGCATAAAAGGGAAGTCCCAAGTGCCAATCCGGGATGTCTTCAGAAATCAACCCACGGTGTTACGTCTCCTCGCTCTTCGGTCGTCACGTTCGGCATCATGAGTCAGGCAGTACGTTACTGACCTGACTCAGATGATTAGTTATCCCGTTGGGGTTTCAGTTAACCGTGGTAGTTACCACCTATGTCGTTATCCAGTATGTGTTATGTAGTACCCTGTTGAGGTGTAGTAATGAACGTGTTGCCTCCAAGTTCAAGTGCGTGCCTCCGTGGAAACCACTACAAATGCATTTATTAACCATGTTTCTTTTAATATTGTGTCTTCGTAATGTTGTTAGTATCTTTATGCATTAATATCCATTGTTTAAATATTATAAAGTACGTGTTTTGGGTGAAAATAGGTAACTTTCAATGGTATTGGACCGTGTATTTCCTATACTGGTGTCGTGACAGCGTGGATGTCGCTGTAATGCTGGCCCAAGAGAGGCACGGCGTGCGATGCATTGATATCGCGGGCACCACATTATGTGGGTGCAGTACCGGCCCTAAAGGGGCTTGGAGAGCACTGACTGGCAGTGCTGGATGGTACCACGCTCTGCGTGCAGCGCCGACCCCTACAGGATAGGGTGTGAGAGAGTGTCGGCAATGGGGTTACTAAGAGCCATGGCACTCTGGTTGACCCCGAAGGACACATTACGAGAAAGTCTACACAGGGCCCCCAGGTGGGGGCTAGGGGTGGTCACGTGTCAGGGTTCAGATCCTGCTCGAGGATTCTAGAAGGTGGTCGTGGCTAAGGGCGGAGCCAGCCACACCGCAGAGGATATAAGCCGGGTCCCCGAGAGGGACCGGCTGCTGTTGTTCATCCTGAAGAAACCTACGTTTTCCATTCTACGTCCTACAAACTCTCCAACACGTGGACCTCGACCCGAGCTCTGATCCGGTCCGTTGTAGCTAGTTATGGTGTAATAAGTGTCGTTAGCCTGGTGGTCCACCACCATAGGTTATCTGGTAAAGGGGCAGTTACCCCTTTGTGTTGATATCAATAAATGTGTTGCCTCCAAAGAGTACGTCTGCGACTCAGTTGAACTCACTACACTGGCTTAACGACCAAATCACTTCACCAATTACCATCGTTAAAAGGGCTTCTATTTTATATAGTGCTGCACCAGCACTATAAATAAGTACTGCACCAGGTATATTCTCGGATTAAGGCTGAGTTCCAACCACTGTATCACCACTCCCCAAATGCATACGCACGCGCAAACACAAAGACCCCCCCCCACCCCGTGTAACCTGAACAGACTGTTGGGGCAAGTGCTGTTCGCGAAAATCTATGAAGGCCGGCACGGTACACGAGGTGGTGGGTGGCCAACAAGACGTGCGGCCCCCTTTGTCTCCCCAGTGGTGATGTTTACACACCGTGCCAGTTACTCGTTTGAGGCTGAGTCGGCCTCGAAGAGGCACATGACCGGTTCAAATAATCGTCACTGGTGTTTGTCGTGAGCAGAAATCGAACTCGGGTTTCCGGGTTCGTAGCACAGCGTGCTAACCACCACACTATCGTTCCCCACACACACACATAGGTGCACTGCTACCAACTGTATGCCTAAGCAAATATAAAAACCAAGTTCCACTATTTAACACCTCGCACCTCCGATTAGCACGCCTGGATATAAGTACAACGTACATACAACACGAGAGGCTCCAGGTAAGTGATTTTGGGTTAAATCGCATAAGTAGAATATGCCTCTATGGGACCTTTTTGCCAGTATCCAAAATGTTGAAAAATAAGAATAGGTTTTACCCTTTCTGGAAATAAAACAGGTATGGAGATGTTCAAACACCAAATATAAAACTTAATCAAGGCATCAAGTTTGCATTAACCACACATACTTGTGACAAAACATGCAAACAAATCTGCTCTGATAAGATATACATTGCCTTTTAAACTGATTGGCCTACACCAGAGACAGCCTTCTTTATGGCCTTGTCTCAGCAGTGTCAGACCAGAAAATTGTAAAAGGCGAACAGTACAAAGACAATGCAAGTATCAAAACACATAACTCGGGTCGAGTAGTTGTATCTATCGGATACCCTTTCGCCAGTATCGATGCATGTTTTTGCAAGAAGTACGTGTGGTTAATACAGACTTGATGTCTATGAAAATTTGATCTATTTGATGTTTGAACATTTTAACACAGCTCCTGTTTTATTGCCAGAAAGGATCAAATCTTGTTTTTTATCAGTAGAATGTCGTACACTCTCCACCTACCTGACGCAGCCAGTTCATGAATTTGTCATGTGAACAATCGTGCCAATGTGGTGCTGCTTCAGCAATCGAATACAAACATATGCTTGTGCTGCTCCAGCACCACAAGCATATGTTTGTATTCGATTGTTTTTTCAAATCGAATACAACTTCATGTGACGAAAAAAAAACTCTTTTGCTGGCCGTGTCAGGCAGGGGAGGGGGGTTTCATGGCACAACATTTTGGCTTGCGCGGATCTGGCCCGAACATCAATCACGTGTCAAGATTGTCTGACACGTTGTTGTAATGCTCACGTTGCTTACACACCACAAATCATTCAACAATCCCAAAAGCGAACAAAACCAGTGTCCATTACCGCAAAATTAAATGCAGTTGGCGAACATCTTACGGCCGTGCCTTTTTGTCAGACTTTTGTAACCCCACCCACCCGTGTGAAGTCTGCTGTCAGAAATTGTCATTTAGTTGTTTCAGGTGATGGATCGCATTACGGGCGTGAGCTGAAAAACCTGTCACACGTGGCCGATGCTCACGCACGGTGCGATGGCAAGGAGCCCGTGACGCCGACACCTCACAGCCAGAGACTTGCATCTGCACCCACAGGGTTTATGCCTGGCACCAAACACAAGCTGGGACGCAACACATGAGTCCATCTGCTCCTGTACCGCATGTAACGAGGCAGCGAGGCGTCGCCACGTGACCGCACGGGGCAAGCTTGACCACTTGGAAAGAAACCCAGTACACGTGTGGATATAAATTGGTGCCAATCATATCCACACAGTCTGTCAACCTATGGCACCTGGGTCTGTCCCGTGACCTGCCAGCGGGTGTTCGATACTTCACGTGGCCTTAATATTCACTTAGCCTGGCACAAGCACCGAGGTGACGTCACCGCCACTTAGTGGCGAATGGTGATTATTGTTGTTATGAATGGGTGAATATTAAGTGAATGTGTGAGTGCATTTGATCGTCGGTGCGTGAATGTGTGAGGAGCAGTTGCACTGCACTACAAACCCCGCCGACCCGATTTAGATTCCAATTCAGGGCTAGCAACACCATTGACGATTATATGAACCCGTCATGGGCCTCCCCCTAGGTCGACTCAGCCTTTAATTAGCACCCTGTGCGGTGTGTAAACAGCACTGGGGAGACAAAGGCGGCCGGGCGTGGTGCTGGCCACCCACCCCCTCGTGTGCCGTGCCGGCCTTCATAGGTGCTCGCTAACAGCAGTTGCCTCTACAGTCTGTTAAGCTCCAAACGACCCTCTGCTAAATGTTCCCAGTTAACGCAACCCCCGTGTGAAAATGTGTCTCCTTCGCGGCATTGTCCAGCTGTGTACTGTTCATGTTTAACTGCAACAGTTGGTGCATAATTGTATTTAAAGTCTCACTGAGTCCCAAGACTCATTTTAGGGTCCCGTCAAAGTAGTTCACAGTCGGGGGGTTATGTTACGATGCCTCATCCCAGTTGAGTCGTTAGCAGGCAATACTTTAACATTTGGATGTCTGAAGTGTATTTCGTTTTAAGCCCTGGGAGAAAGCTGGAAAAGCTGGAAAACCTGGAGAAGACGCATGCAGAACATACAAACTCCATGCAGAAAAGCGCTTGATTTGGGGATTGAACCCGGACTCCTTACAGTGAGGCACGGGTTTTACCTGCCTCCCAATGGCAGGTGCAGAGCAGCAAAGGCTGGCATACAATAATTTTTTGCACGCAGATAATACTATGAACATGGGTACGGTATTCCCTCGCTATTCACGAACTTGCTCTCTACGACTTTGGCTGTCCACGAATCGCATCTGGAACTGAACACGACTGCTGCGTCGAGAGAGAGTGATGGAATAAAGTGATGAGAGAGAATGTGATACGAGAAAGTGCTGACAAAGTTATGAGATGAAGTGATGAGATATAGATTTTCGTAAGCCAAAAATCATGCGCCAAATGTGCTATTCACGAGCATCTCCGGAGCGTCTCCCTTGCCGCAAATAACGAGGGAACGCCGTCGTATGGGTGCACGCAGGCCTACGGACAATGTGCCGATCTGACCACGTGGAATGTTGTATTCTTGATGCTGTGGGGATCATCAGAGTTCCCACGATGTGACGTACATAGAAGTTTGACAATTATTCTCAGCAGCAGCGACGCCCGATGATGTCACACACACAACAAGGGGCAGTAACGAACCTTTGCAGATTTCAGTTGATTCTGATGATCCTTGAGCACTTCCTTGATCTGATCATGCTGGAGGGACAGCATGTCGTGGGCTTGCTGTGTGACACAACAAATACAAAGATCCCCCGCGTAACCTTAACAGACTGCCGGGGCAAGTGCTGTTAGCGAGCAGCTACGAAGGCCGGCACAGCACATGGACGGGTGGGTGGGCAACACCATGCCCGGCCGCCTTTGTCTCCCCAGTGCTGATGTTTAAATACTACACGGGGTACTGATTTAAGGCTGAGTCGACCTAGGGGAGACCCAGGACCGGTTCAGATAATTGTCACTGGTGTTGGCCGTGAGCGGGAATCAAACTCGGGTCACCGGGTTCGAACAGTAGCATGGCTGACGCTCCCCCTGTTTTACACACAGACACACACACTCGTGAGCATGTGCGAGTTTGAGAAGTCATTTTACAAACACGATAACTGGCACCAGCACTGGGTCACGCAACAACAACAACAGCCGCCGTTTGCCACCAAGTGGCGGTGTGTGATACGCGCACATGCATGCACACGCCCACACCTGCGTAATGACACAAATACCAATACGCGCCATGTGCCAGGCCAGGTGCACTCTGAGGCCACGTAAAGTGTCGAAGATTCGCTGGCAGGAAGTCTTTGAACAGACCCAGGTGCCATGGGTTGGCTGACTGAGATGATCGGTAGACGCACCAGCTCCCTTCTCAAAACCAGACGTTTCCATCTGGGGGACAAACCCGATAACTTCGGTACTGCGGTCTAACTCGCTCTGGCCTGTACATCGGGTGGTATGATGAATCGACCCATCGATTGCAATCGATACCTGAAATTGGGATACGCACAGGGTCGCATCTGTCTTACGCTCGAACGATCCGCGTGACGTTAGAACGCCGGAGGAGCACCGATGCACCGCAGCGTTACCAGGTAACAGATTTGATCAGGCAATGGGTGGCGATGATGGACGTGGCAGCCTGTCATCCAACACTGTGGAGGTGGCAGCGAGAATTGGTGGATCATGCACAGATGGTGTGTCGAGGAGGAGCCGTGCCCTTTCTCGGCAGGAGAAGCCGGTACAGTCAAAATGTTAACTACCTCGCCTAGTAAACAGGAGGTCGTGGGTTCGATCCCAACCCTGACGCCTGCTGTATATTTGGAGTTTGCATGTCTCCCTGTGGTCGCGTGGATTTTTCTCTGGGCACTCCGTTTTTTCCTTCCACATTTAGAATCAACGTCACGCATTTAGAGTATTTGGCTGCTGTAAATTTTCACACGATGAATAGCCACTTCGTTGGGCGATCATTTGTGGCTTGATCACTTCTGAAAAAGAGCTATATAGCTCAGTTTAGTTTAGATGGATCACCGCAGATCTCAAGAAACTAGCCTTTTTGGGTCACGTGAATTGTATTCGCAGATTCAGGCTTACTCACCTGGAGTAAGGAGACATCGGCGTGAGTTATGAAGCGTCACGCAGACTACGATGCAGTCTCTTTAAATACCGAAGGAGGGGGTACTGGACTAGACAAGATGCGTGGCACATAATGACACGCCTTTTAAAAAAACTCAACTTCAGTTTTCACAATTTGGTATGAGGTAGCAAGCGTGCAGAGACTCCAACGTGAGCAAGCCCTACGTGGCTGGGTGCACGCGAGTGGCGGGGCTCACGGCGGGCACCTGCACGTGCCGCTGTGCGTGTCGCGCTGCGTTCGTTTCATTCCGTTCTAACTCGGCGGCGATGTCGCGTGCCACTCGCTTGCCCCGCGACAGCTCGCACGCCTCCAGACGTACCTGCGGAAACACGCGCGCCCCTGCATCACTACAATGCCACGAACACACAGAGACAAAGATCTCCCCCCGTAGAGCCTTGCCAGACGCTTGGGGCAAGTCCTGTTAGCAGGTCGTACCTACGAAGGGCGGCACGGCACACGAGGGGGTGGGTGGCCAGCACCACGCCACCTTTGTCTCCTTAGTAGTGATGTTTACACACCACACCAGCTACTCATTTAAGGCTGAGTGGGCCTAGGGGAGGACCAGTTCAGATCATCGTCACTGGTGTTGGCCGTAAGCAGCAGTTGTCAAGTAAATCCAAATGCTGAACACTACACTTTCAAAAATCACTTCATTCCTTACCGGAAAATAATTGCACGGCTGTTCCCTCGAGTGAGACGTCTGTCCTCCCTCTCTCTCAGTGTCTCCACAGTAGTGAAAATATCTCTCAGGCACCAATCTCTGATGTCGTCGTAAAGCCTTTCTCCATTAGGTCTTTCTCTCTTTCCGGTTCCTTCCATTTTTTCTGTCATTGTCCATCCTACATATGTGTCCAAATACATACAGTGAGGGAAAAAAGTATTTGATCCCCTGATGATTTTGTACATTTACCCACTGACAAAGAAATGATCAGTCTATAATTTTAATGGTAGGTTTATTTGAACAGTGAGAGACAGAATAACAACAACAAAATCCAGAAAATTGCATGTCAAAAATGTTATAAATTGATTTGCATTTTAATGAGGGGAATAAGTATTTGACCCCTCTGCAAAACGTGACTTAGTACTTGGTGGCAAAACCCTTGTTGGCAATCACAGAGGTCTGACTTTTTTTGTAGTTGGCCACCAGGTTTGCACACATCTCAGGAGGGATTTTGTCCCACTCCTCTTTGCAGATCTTCTCCAAGTCATTAAGGTTTCGAGGCTGACGTTTGGCAACTCGAACCTTCAGCTCCCTCCATAGATTTTCTATGGGATTAAGGTGTGGAGGCTGGCTAGGCCACTCCAGGACCTTAATGTGCTTCTTCTTGAGCCATTCCTTTGTTGCCTTGGCCGTGTGTTTTGGGTCATTGTCATGCTGTAATACCCATCCACGACCTATTTTCAATGCCCTGGCTGAGGGAAGGAGGTTCTCACCCAAGATTTGACGGTACATGGCCTCGTCCATAGTCCCTTTTATGCGGTGAAGTTGTCCTGTCCCCTTAGCAGAAAAACACCCCCAATGCATAATGTTTCCACCTCCATGTTTTACGGTGGGGATGGTGTTCTTGGGGTCATAGGCAGCATTCCTCCTCCTCCAAACACGGCGAGTTGAGTTGATGCCAAAGAGCTCCATTTTGGTCTCATCTGACCACAACACTTTCACCCAGTTGTCCTCTGAATCATTCAGATGTTCATTGGCAAACTTCAGACGGGCATGTATATGTGCTTTCTTGAGCAGGGGGACCTTGCGAGCACTGCAGGATTTCAGTCCTTCACGGCGTAGTGTGTTACCAATTGTTTTCTTGGTGACTATGGTCCCAGCTGCCTTGAGATCATTGACAAGATCCTCCCGTGTAGTTCTGGGCTGATTCCTCACCGTTCCCATGGTCATTGCAACTCCACGAGGTGAGATCTTGCATGGAGCCCCAGGCCGAGGGAGATTGACAGTTCTTTTGTGTTTCTTCCATTTGCGAATAATCGCACCAACTGTTGTCACCTTCTCACCAAGCTGCTTGGCAATGGTCTTGTAGCCCATTCCAGCCTTGTGTAGGTCTACAATCTTGTCCCTGACATCCTTGGAGAGCTCTTTGGTCTTGGCCATGGTGGAGAGTTTGGAATCTGATTGATTGATTGCTTCTGTGGACAGATGTCTTTTAAACTGGTAACAAGCTGAGATTAGGAGCACTCCCTTTAAGAGTGTGCTCCTAATCTCAGCTCGTTACCTGTATAAAAGACACCTGGGAGCCAGAAATCTTTCTGATTGAGAGGGGGTCAAATACTTATTTCCCTCATTAAAATGCAAATCAATTTATAACATTTTTGACATGCGTTTTTCTGGATTTTCTTGTTATTATTCTGTCTCTCACTGTTCAAATAAACCTACTATTAAAATTATATGCTCATCATTTCTTTGTCCGTGGGCAAAGGTACAAAATCAAATACTTTTTTCCCTCACTGTAGTGCCAGTTTCCTCATCACTGCCTGTATCATCATCAGGTCGTCTGCTTCTATGTGCAACCTTTTTCTTACTTCTAGGTTGGCCACTGTTTGGGTCCAGCTCAGATGCAGCAGTAATCCTTCTGTAGCAATGCATTTGGAGTGCCAATATCTTATGTGAAGCTGCATTGAACACGCGTATTCTTAACGTGTTCAGAAAATACGGCATCACACCATTCTAATCATGCCCCCATGGTGTGACCTCGTGCAGTCTCCAATTCGTATCATCCACTCTCCTCTTGCTGCTCTAAGCACATGCAATGAAGAAGGACCATGGCCCGAAACGTCACCCCTCATGTTGTGTTGTTGTGCAAGGCCATGGAGTTATTGCCCAAAACGCGTTGAGTTGTCTTTGTTAACTCTGCATTGTGCACCACTGCCAACGCAGCACCATGGCCAGGTAACGTGTTACATACACCTGTACCACCTGTACCACCTGTACAGAAGAATGAGGCAGCGGTCAGTGTGCGCGAACGCGCGCAGTGGTTGTGGTGACGAGCCGGGAGTTTTAGTGTGCTTGAGGACGGTGGCATGTGTGCATGCGTGCCGCGAGCCATACCTGTGCATCTTGCAGAGACACGTGGCACTCCTGCCTTTCCCTGCGCAGCTGCTGACTCTCCTCTTTCTCTCGGGTTATCGTTTCTATCGGAGGGACGGGCGCGAGGGTTTAGCACAGGGACTACAACGCGCGCGCGGCACTCCACGCAAGCCATCGATTGCGACGCACATCCGATACCGTGGTCATGCAGGCACCCAATACCGTTGTCATGCAGGCACCCGATACCGTGATCACGCAGACACCCGATATTGTGGTCACACAGACACCTGATACCGTGATCACACAGACACCCAATACCGTGATCACACAGACACCCAATACCGTGATCACACAGACACCCAATAGCGTGATCACACAGACACCCAATACCGTGATCACACAGACACCCAATACCGTGGTCACACAGACACCCAATACCGTGATCACACAGACACCCAATACCGTGATCACACAGACACCCAATACCGTGATCACACAGACACCCAATACCGTGATCACACAGACACCCAATACCGTGATCACACAGACACCCAATACCGTGATCACACAGACACCCAATACCGTGATCACACAGACACCTGATACCGAGATCACACAGACACCCAATACCGTGATCACACAGACATCCAATACCGTGATCACACAGACACCCAATACCGTGATCACACAGACACCCAATACCGTGATCACACAGACACCTGATACCGTGATCACACAGACACCTGATACCGTGATCACACAGACATCTGATACCGTGGTCACACAGACACCTGATACCGTGATCACACAGACACCCAATACTGTGGTCACACAGACACCTGATACCGTGATCACACAGACACCTGATACCGTGATCACACAGACACCCAATACCGTGGTCACACAGACACCCGATACCATGATCACACAGACACCCAATACCGTGGTCACGCAGACACCCAATACCGTGGTCACACAGACACCTGATACCGTGATCATACAGACACCTGATACCGTGATCACACAGACACCCAATACCGTGATCACACAGACACCCAATACCGTGATCACACAGACACCCAATACCGTGATCACACAGACACCTGATACCGTGATCACACAGACACCTGATACCGTGATCACACAGACACCTGATACCGTGGTCACACAGACACCTGATACCATGATCACACAGACACCCAATACCGTGGTCACACAGACACCTGATACCGTGATCACACAGACCGTGATCACACAGACACCCAATACCGTGGTCACACTGACACCCGATACCGTGATCACACAGACACCCAATACCGTGGTCACACAGACACCCAATACCGTGGTCACACAGACACCTGATACCGTGATCACACAGACACCTGATACCGTGATCACACAGACACCCAATACCGTGGTCACACAGACACCCAATACCGTGATCACACAGGCACCCGATACCGTGATCACACAGACACCCAATACCGTGATCACACAGACACCCAATACCGTGGTCACACAGACACCTGATACCGTGATCACACAGACACCTGATACCGTGGTCACACAGGCACCTGATACCGTGGTCATGCAGACACCCAATACCGTGGTCACACAAACACCCAATACCGTGGTCACGCAGACACCCAATACCGTGGTCACACAGACACCCGATTCCGTGATTGCATAAATATCAATGTGTCGTTAAATCTTGTTGTATATATAGGCCTTTTTCCAAAAATTCATGTTAAGAATAATTCTGTAAAAAAATTCATAATCGATCAGGGTGAGCATAGGGCATGAAATGGTGAGGCACACCCCACCCCTCACACCCAGCTGCCTTGCCACATTAAAGCAACTGGAGGGAGGAGGTCATAAAGAGCAATTAAATAATAAACTCCGAATAAACTCCGGGGCAAAGGGGGGTTATTGACGATCTGGAAAACCTCCAGATTGTCAAAGGACCATACATGACACGACCTCCACGGACGTTTTGGACAGTTCACAAACAAATCTCCAGACTCACTCGCACGGACGCAGAGCAGAGGGCAAACATTACAACTGGCGTTTTCTTTAACGGTAAAAGTTCGAAACTTAGCGACAAGAATAAATCGACATTATAGACTGCATTCTACATTAGTGGCTTTAATTATTACTTATTTTATTTCACCCTTATTCATCTCATATATTGTTTCTCATTGTATATTTATATATACGTGACTTACCAAAAGAACCAAGGAATATGAATTCTGGCAGTCAAGAAAGCTTAAGTGAAAACTTAGTTATATCTCCAACCTCAGGATATCAAAATATAACTCGAGAATAGAAAGCACGGATCACTGGATACAGACAGGGAACAAAGGTTAATAAAACCCTCGGAATACATGTGGTAACAACTATGGTAGATCACGAATCTTGGTTAAACATAAACCAAATAATAATCATGAAGTATTAGACTTAGGGTAAGTCAAAAGAGATACAAGGCAAAATAGGTCAATCACACACAACCGCGATACAGTAAGGTATTCCATAGGACCAGACTCCTAACCGCCTTTGTCTCCCAACAATTTGACACAACACATAGTAGTAATAAATACGTATGAAGGGAGGGTGCTTCCCCTTGATGTAGCAATCACCACGAAGGCAGGGGGGGGGGAACCAAAACATAAACATAGTATGGAAAGCAGCCAGTCGGCTGTGGCCACGGGAGGAGAACGAGACAGGGCATGTTTTTTTTTCTCCCACAAGAGACGCGCAGAGGGGAGAGAATTTCACATATAAGCAAGGACACAGATCATGCAACTTAGTACTGAAAATGGCAGGCTCTGGGAATCTGCCCCCGTGACAGGCACATCGATAGGGAGCTGCATTGGCAGAAGCCACGAGTCTACGAAGTCGACAGAGATAGAGTCTTGCTACGGCAAGTTCCGGGGGTGGGCCCCGCAATCGACCAAGGATGGCGAGGCTTGCAGAGTAGCGATGTGTCACCGCGTACGAGTTCGGCGCTGACAGACGAAGTATCGCTAAAAGTTGTATTCTACGTTGAGTGCCAGCTCCCACCAACAGCTGCAGCACGAGAGAAAGAGTGACGAGCAACGTCAAGCAATCAACCTCGAGGAAGGGCGGAAAGCGCACAGCATCGGCAACCAGCGAATGCGCTGCGAGCACATCGTGCATCGCCAGAGGGCACGGGGCAGGAGAGAGAGCGCGCAACCAGCGCCACTCGTCGGGGTGTCAGCGGCCAGCGGACGAGCTGCAAACGCAACCAAGCACCTTCCTAAGTTCATGCATAATCATTTTTTATTATAAGAACCATATCCTGCGCAGAGATCTGAATTTTGAGGCCTGACATAAACACTAAAACATAATCAGTAAAAGTTAAAGCGAGAATCATTGTACTATCCTGATTGATAAGACAACTGTAGACAACGAAGCCGAGCCTAATTAGCACAATTACATACACTTGCATAACTTCATACAATTACACCTTCATTGTATTATCCCGAATGATAATACAACCCTCGACAGCGAATCAAATTCTAATTATCAAAATTACATACATTTGCATAATTACATGCACTTGCATAACTTCATACAGCACACCTTCCTAATTGGAATAAATGCATACTTTGCATAATTACATAAATTAGCATAATTTTGGATAATGACAAAACATTTTCATTTAATTGTTATTATTTTTATGCATAAGACCCAATATATACAACAACCTGAAACCACCCGACACAGCCAATTAGTAAGGTTTGTCACGTACACAAAACGTGCCAATTAGTTACTAGTACAGCCCTACTGCTGTGTTGGAGAGTAAACCCACAACATTGACAATTCGATAACATGACGTTTTGCCGGTTATTATAACCAGCCTCATCAGGCGACAGCCAGAGATGTGTAGAAATCCTCCTGCTTCGATCTTTAAAAAAGGGATAGATGTGACGTCGTCACTTGTGAGCAAATCAGGTGCGAAGGCCAGGGGTGGGGGTGAGGGGATTAATGTTTACACGATCTAACCCAAAAAACTATTTTCTGGATAATATACGGTCACGAAAGCCTACAACGTGTTCCTTATTTAAATTGTCCACAAGGAGGCAATTATTGTTATTGACGCGAAGACTGCGACAGACCACAGCGTAGCCACGGAGGCCCCTGCGAGTGGCAGGTAACAGCAATCTCGCACTCCGCGTGGCCGATGTTACTGCAGCGCAACAGGTCGTCATTTTACGTCGAGTTGGTCGATGTGGCAGACGAATGCGTCAGGAGTAGCGGCGGCAAATCATCACTGCTGTAACAATGGCTCCTCCTCCTGTGTAATTTGGAATCGGGCACTGATTCGCTGTTATATGTTCCACGGTTCTGTTCTGGGTGACCACAGTCGCATAGCGGGGAGATTTTTATTCTCCATTTCTGCATCGTCAGCAGGTATCCGCATCTGCTGCTGCCATGGCTTGTGTGCGTATGTGGTTTCGGGTTGTGGGCCCATGAGCTTCGCGATGGAACATCGAACGCCAGGTAACATCAACAAAAATAACGACAAACAATTATTGTTGCTGTTACCTGGCTTCAAACAACGATTATACTTGGTAAAATACTGCTTCAGTGACGTCTATAAACAGGAATAGCCGTTATGTTCATTTATTGTCTCGTGTCCATCGTCTCTAGCAGGTGTCCGTTGTAACGTCAAGGCCCCTGATGACAGCGCTACGACGCGCCACGGTCAGGAGGACGACTTGCGCCTGACAGTCACGTGGTGGCCAAATGTAGCTATTTTTAATCCAAACATTCCTCATGTACGCCACCAGGCAATGTTATACAATGGGTGGGAGGTTTTTAAGTCCAGTTATTTTTGTATACTTCTCCCCTCCCACCTCCTCCACACACTCTCCTACCTCTCCCCTCTCACTCCCTCCATGCACTCTCCTACTCGTCCTTGGGCCAGAACAGATATCGGTACCACCCAAGGTGGCAAAACTTCAATGGTGCCATTGAATTTGTTACACCAACAGAAGTAAAATAATACGTTATAACCTTTCCCAAAGAGCAGCTATTTAATTTTTCTCGCAGGAAACCTGTTTTTGCACCTAACGCAATC